TGTTTCGTGAAGTGTATGGAGTCGCACACAGGTGTCCGGTTTTCTTTACATAAGCTCAACACATCCATATTTTAATGTGTAAAACACCGAAAAACACGCAATCAGTGGAAACAGTAAACTTAAAAACAAAGCAGAGTTAAAGAAACAGAAACATACCATGGAAAACACGGAACCAGTCCAATTTTAACCAAGCGAACATGGGAAAACGATCCGAATAACAAAGATACTGCATACAAACCTTCAACATCTTGGGCAATAAAGACCATCCTACGATTCCGTGCTCATTAATGTTGTTCCCGTCTCTTTTCTGACAGTTTTATTTTATAATATTTTAAGCCCCTGTCTGGCAATGTTGAGTTAAATAAACACCGTGCTACGAGTTACAATCGAACTGTTGCCATGCGAATACTTCTACAAATTGTGCAGAAAAAAAACTAATAGATACTGACGTGTTTAAGAAGATCAAAGCTGAACAATCACCACGTTTTGTCCTAAAACTTGTGGTTAAGAAGATATTCGAAAATATTAAAAGAAAACATTTGCTCTGCGATGCCATCCTGTCGAGCGACGAGACTTACCACGGCGACGAATCATGATCTCTTGTGCCCTTTCCTATATACGATTGCAACTTGGGCACCTGGATACTACGTTACTGGTCGTGTGAGCCAGCACGAGAATTTGCACGCTAGTCAAAGTTACCTTGACGTGCAAGATGTATGGTCTAGCACTCACGGGACGTGAGGTCGCACGGGAACCGCTTGAGGACGTAATACTCAGTATCAACGTTTTGTATCACATCATCAAGACTTGAAAGTAAACATTTTGGTGGACATCCACCGTTTTAGGAATGATAAAAATATGGAGGCAATGGCTCTAACCCGCAAGTAAGAAAGTAATGAAGATCCCAACGTCTCAAGGTCAGCTCGGCCCCTCGATCCTCGATCAACGGGTGACTGTTTTTGTTCTTGTTGTCGTTATGCACAGTACTTGGTGTTGTCGTCTACTTTTCAAGTGACGGTTGTTTTTTCGTGTTTGTTGCTGATGAGGTTTCGCTCGACGCACCCCGCATGACGCATCGTGAACCATACACCTAAGGGCTTGAAAACGATTCAGCTGACCAGTTTATGTTGTCTTAGAAGTTTTGAATCTGCAAAGACTCTAATAAAAAGGCGTCTTCGCCAGTTTTTCTCCGTGTCAAGAATAAAGCAACTGTTAAAGCAATCGTGTGACCCCTCTTGCCAACATGTTCTGCCATCGCGGCTCCTTGCACATCGTCATATTTGACGTGACAGTGAGGCTGGCATACGCGTTCCGGGAAGTGCCTACTTTCCCCAACGTGCTATAATAAGAATAAAAATAATGTTTCATTGAAATAAAAATTTCCAGAGACAATAGTGCTGACCTACTAAAGCAGCTTCCTGCTTGTGCGTTGGGCCAGACAACCAGCAAAAATAGAGTTACAAATAAGCTCTATGTAAACATGAAAATTCAACGAACGCCTGCACCATGGAAATAAACAAATATAACGAATGTACTTACGCTCAATACAAGAAAACAAAATGCCACAAATATGAACGCACCAAAACGTTCTATGTCGAAAATATAATTCTGCAGCCGGAGTAAAGAAACGAAAATACTTGAAAAAACTATGGGTCAAGGAGACACTCAGTCACATTGTACACTAGGTTAAAAACAATCAGCCAGGAACAGACACCACAAAACAAAATTCGCAAAAACAATTCTCTCAGAATTTTACGGAACATAGAAATTACATCATTATTTCAGTTGCTTTTTTCAGCATTCTTAAGCAGCTTAGGTACATTAAATACTCGTGTAGTTTATTGAAAAAGAAGGTATATTATATTATTTACATTTCTTTCCGTGTTGTGTTTACACTCTAGGGATCTTAAACCTCTCCGTTCGCCGTAAAATGTTTATCTTCTTGCGAACCTGAAGTTTAAAAAATACAGTCATAATAGCAATTTATAAGCGTAACACATGTCTTACAGCTTGACAAAAAAAGTCATTGGTTACTTCGCTTTATCTTCTAGTTGTAACGTTTCGTAAGATGGTCCTTATGCAGTGTTGTTAATTCCATGTTTTAACACTCTGTGTATTGATTTTTTTTGTATCACGAACCGTGCCCATATAAAGTAAACCCATATTGTAAATTTGATTCTGCTAAATATCTAAACACTAGTAATGTTATCTTCGTACTACGCAAACATCTTATTTTTAATAAAAAAGCTGAAATGGCGCGCAGTCTTATAGTTACATATTCAACGTGTTGATTCCATGACAGGTGTTCGTCAACATATAAACATAAGCATTTGACCGATTTATTATAAGGCAAGAGTTCGCAGTAACAATTCATACACTGAGACGATGAAGTGAAACTGAAGGTGATGATGAAATTCGTTTGTGAGCATTTCGGAAGAAAATATATAACTTAGTTTTGACAATATTAATTGAAATAACATTTGCATTAAACAATTCAATATTTATTTATATCTTTTTGAAAGACAAAACATGCCTCATTGTAGTTATCGTACGGTAAAACTAACGCTGTATCATCACTATACTGATGTATCTTAGACTACAACAACAAAATTCCTCAATCATTTAGGTAAATATTAAATAACGTGGGCCCCAATTTACTTGCCTGTGGCACACCGCATTCCACTTCAGCTATACCTCTTACATTATTAAATATTTTTACTTGCAGCCTATTCCTAAGTAGTCCTAAAAATTATAAAAAGGCCCTCTGAAACGTAATCTGCCAAGCTTATCTAGCATTAAGGAATGATAAGTAGTATCGAAAGCCTTTTATGTATCTAGAAACACTTCTAGCGCAATCTTATTGTTATCCAGTTCTTCGTTAACGCAATCTGAAAAATCGTCTAATAGTGTAATTGTTCTCTTTTTTTGCCGGAAGCCATATTGGGTATTACTTAACAAAGAAAATGTATCGCAGAAGGTAGTCATCGTAATTTGTACCCGTATTTTCTAATACCTGTTAAGACAGGTAGAATAGCAATTGGTCTTTAGCTCTCAATTCTTGACGTTTTTATTTTTATATACAGGACGTCCGGTATACAATCAAGCCCTGGTGAATGGCTATTGACATAGAAATTATAATTCGCAAAAAGTCATATTTTGCTATAAGAGGCATGGACTCTGAATTAAAGCACTTGACTTGTGGAGTGACAGGAATTTGAGTAACCGGTGGAATAAATCTTTTTATCTTCCTTGTGATGCGGCGACAGCCCCCCATCATACGTTTGGAAAACTAAATCTTCCCAGAAGGACTACGCCAGTATCAATATGACGTCAAGAAGAATGAAGTGCAGGGTAACGTGCTGGCAGAACACGTTGCGAAGAAGGGGCACACCATATCGCATTCAACAAGAGCTGTATTTTTGCCACGGAGAAAGAAACTGTCAAACACGCCTTTTCTTAGAGTCTTGGCACATTGGAAACACCAAAGAAAACATAAATCGGTCAGCTGGGACAGCTCCAAGCACGCACGTGTCTGGTTTATGATGCGTCATGCAGGGTGCGTCGAGCTATACCTCATCAGCTACAAACACGAAGAAATAGCGGCCTTTTTAAAAGAAGACGACTATACCGGGCTTTATGACACTACCACAATGACAAAAACACTCACCTACGATCAAGGGGCCGAAGTGGCATCGAAACGTCGGGCAATACCTTTTTTTTCTTATGATCTATACTTGGGTATCTTTCTAGTTTTGATTAAAGTAGAAGTTTGGGCTAGTTGGTATTTCATGATTAAAGATTAAAACAGCGCAAGGACACGGACAAGAACAAGAAGGTAGACAAACAAGGCGCTGTTTGTCTACCTTCTTGTTCTTGTCCGTGTCCTTGCGCTGTTTTAATCTTTAATTCTAGTTTTGACTTTTCTCTGCTTTATGCATTTCATTCGTCTCAACGCTTCAGGTACTTTCAGCATTTATAATTAAAAGATTTACAGTGACGTAAACAGTTTCAGCGCACGTTAGCGCTAAATATAACTTTAAGTTTATTGCACGTTGATCAATCAAAATTTAGACTAACATTTCTCCCCAACAATACAAATCAAGAATCTCGCGCTCGTGACCTGTAACGATACCAAGATGTAGTCGCAGGTATTGCTTAACACAGAAAATACCGTACCATAAAAAAGAGCGCTTGGTCCTGAATAACACTTTATATTTCTTTCAATTTAATAATGCGACTCGTTGGTCGACCGGTTGTGTCATATTCGAGCTGTCTTGTACCGACCTCGGCCGAGAGGTGCGTACCCGTCGTAAGCATAAAGCTGCCGGCGATCGTTGCTCCTATTGGTGGGGTTTTGAAACAGTTTGTCGGATGTCCATTGCTCTCCCATAGGAAAAGTGTGGTTCTGTATAAAAAAAACTCGCAGTGTCGAGGACGCTTTCATCGTTCTCGGAATTCGGCCGTGGTTCTGAGAGCCACAATTTTCGAATGCGGATTATCTTGGTTTAGCTTACTCCCACCTCCTCATGAATCGAGACGGCAACGCAAAGGGTTTGAGGCAAGTTTCAGAAAACATGTGCGCACCAAAAAAAAAAAAACTTGAGACACATTTTTGGTACGGTGCATGCAGTGGCGACGACGCCATTTCCTTGTGTGCACAAGGGTTAGGGTTGCGGTATAAAAAAAACTATTTACTATTTTAGTGTCAAGCTGATGGCCGTTGTTCTTATGATGCGCTTCTGATTTTACTTATTCTAGTCAAGCCTGCTTGAAGCAAGACGCGAAGCTACTCCCGAATTATGTCATACATATTAACTTCCAATATTAGCATTAATATATTATAAAGTGTTTTATATAGATATATTCATCTTTAGATGAATATCTCTAGCAACTTTAAGTAAAAATATTTACGCACTCTATTAAGAGGTCGCATACTTTCGAACGTTGTGCTATTTTATCGTTTGTTTTGTTGTTTAATTTTGAATAATTTTCTTGCTTACCCGGTCACAGCAACCGTAATATCTGCGGGGCTTCTTCCGTACTTTTCAAGAAGGTTCTTAAATGTTGTGTTTGCGTCTGCATAGGTTCTATTGGCATCTGGCCAGCCTATATCGTATTCCACAAAGGTTTGCGCAAATCCCTAGAAAGAGAAACACATATTAAAGTGTTTAGTGAACGTGCGCATACGATTATTCTTTCCAATATATTTATTACTTTTCACGCTTTCGGCTGGGGAAATAAATCGGCAAAAACAGAATTGTGAAAGCGACACCTACCTGTTCCTGTTGAATAGAGGTGAGCAGGAATTGAATGTTTGGACCTGAAGTGTCTTCGAAACGCATGTTAACCTAGTTGAGAAAAAGAAAAACGGTAACAATTACAACATACATTCCAGAGCGTTATTGCGCAATGTGCCGTGTTTGCGAAATCGTTTCTCAAATAACGGCCCTAATACTCTTTGAATAATACTTTTTGTCAATCCTTCCTACGCCTAATTTGTTAGTGAATATTTCTAGACCCGTACCCAGAACGGTTTTTTTTGGGGGGAAGCCGCCAGAAGTGCCAACAACACGCGTTACGCAAAACGCGCACGTTACTGAGAGGGTGCTTACATTTTTTTTTCGCAAAAACTACGTTTTTTATTAAACAAAATTTTTTTTTAGGGGGGGGGGGGGGGCATGGAGCTAGCGAATAGATGGCGTCTTTTATGCCTGGCATAATACTGGAGGTCCTTTTATTTAGACATGCAACTTAGTAGTAGAGAAGTGACTTATGGGAACCCAATAGACTGATCTTACCATCCAATTTCATTACGCCACTGCTGACGAAATGCACTCAGGGAACTTCAATCTTTGTGCACGAGGGATGACCTTGATGGAGCTATGCGTGCACAGGGCACGAGACGGCCCGACCGTTTTGTGTACTGCCGCCAGCCTCCTCTGAACTCAACTTATGGCGGCATGACCCATGCGTGGAACGCTTAGTGAAATCTGTGTATTGTGATTTGCTTTAATCTTCTGAACGAGCTCCTCTACCGAGCGAGGGTAAATGATAAAATGAACGTTGAGAATGTTCATACAGCCGTAGGTCAGCGTTCCTCTTGATTAGTAAAATACTGAATTAACGCTGACAATCTAAATTGTATATCCCTGGTGCTTCTATTGTGATCTCAACGTTCGTTACAAGGTAGAAATTGCCGACGGCCAAACATTATATTTCGCGTTTATGTAAAATAAGCTGTTTCTGCCCTCTATTTGCTTTGGACGTGAATCCAAAGCACTCTTAATTTGCATCGACAAATCTCGCCTTCTGATCACCTTCCTATAAACAATTTCATTACATTCTATTGTCCTTCGCTGATGAGCAGCTGGGCAACGAATGCATACCTTTGCTGGTGGGGCACGCATTCAATATTAAGAGCGAAAACGTCGTGTTGGTTACAAGCGCCTGGATATTCCGTCTCACCCAAGCACTGCCATCGATTGATCTTACCGCGAGTGCGCCTTTTGGATGCCCGTGACACGTCGCCACTGTTTAGCCTCATGGCCCCATCCCACATACAAGTGCTCACGTTTCAATAGGTGTGTTGTACTGCAAGCGACACAGCACCGTGCGCGCGAACGCTCGTAGTGGTTTGTTTTCGCAGCTGGTGACCCGCCGCGAACAACACGCCGTACTTCAGGGAACGCTCAGCCATTTTTGACTCCAGTGTATCTCATCTCAAACCAATTTGACGGTATTTGCATGGTCAATAATATCCGATAGAGATCTTTAGATGGCCCCCCCTAAGTTGATATGGCGGATATTCATCCTGAAATCCTGCGTATTTGGTTAGCCTACCTCAAACATTTGTTGATGGCCTAGAACTTCATGTCTGTGCCTTAAATTTCGGGGCGATGTAGTTGCGCAGTCTATGGCCTAATTTTCGTGCCCAAAATATTCAGGCAGATAACCTCTATCAGGTTGTGTTGGGTCAGGGATGGGCAAAATACATGCACATATGTATCGAAATACAAATACAAAATACTTTGTCAAAAATGTATTTAATTACAAATCTAATTACAATTCCACAAAAGCATTTAAGTACAAGATACAAATACAATCAAATGTATTTGGTCTCCTTCAAATACTTTTCCAAATACATTCCTCAAAATTTGCATCAGCGACTTCAGGACACCTGCAACGGGTTCCTGGGTATCTCATTTTAATTTTGCATTGCACACTCGGGAGTTAGTGTGCGAGGCTCTATTAACGTAATAAAAATATAATTACAAAAAATGTAATCAGCTTGGATGTAATAGGTAAAAAACGTACAGAGCTTCAAGCAGCTTTTTTTTTTGTCGATTACATTTTGGTATTGACCAACAAAGAGCTGAGACGACCAAGACGCGCAACACTAGCTAGAGAATTTTTTATTGTTGCAACTCGCACCGGTTACAAAAATCTGGACGACCCGCACATTTAGAATGTTCCAGGCACAAATATGGATGGAAATCAGGCTAGAAAGCATCACAAGTTGTCACAGGCACTTATTTAGCCAGTCTGCCTGTGAACGTCGATTTCGTCACTATTCTTGCCCTGGACTAGCACCGCAATCACAAAGTCACTAAAAGCTTGTGCTTGATTGAAAAACACTGCATTCGGCGCAGAAAGTAGTTTTCTTCCTGATCTGGACAGTGCCTTTAAAATAAAGCCGGAGGAGAAAAGGAAAAAAAGCCACATGGCCGAATAAAGGATGGAGACTATATCTTACAACCACATCCATAAAAACAAGATGTATTTTCGCCCACAAAATTGTATTTAATTACGATTGTATTTGAAATACTCATGTTTTAGTATTTAAATACACATGTCAAATACATTCCCAAATTTGTAATTAAATACAAATTCAAAATACTCAAAGTATTTGAAATACGTATTTCAAATACTTGTATTTGAAATACTGCCCATCCCTGTGTTGGGTGAAGCACTTTTACTTACAAGAAAAGCTCTCAATGACCTGTTGGAAGGCTTTAGTGCAGTAGCCTGTTTAGTGGGCAGAAGCAATCTACGCGAGTGTGATACAATAAAAAAACAGGCTTTTTGCTGAAGTGTCGGTTGCCATCGGCAAAATTTTCGTGAGCTGTCTGCTTTATTCTTGTGTACCATTGTCGAAATCAGCAAGATCACTTCTGTTGCCTTAAAATTTGATTAAAATGACCGTTTTTGCATAACTTGCTTTCCAATTACATCATCCACTAAGGACACGGCCATACGATAGGTAATAATTACCCAATATCAGAATAACAAAACACTAATCATTATATCGGCCTGATAAACTTCCCCCTCTTCTCTCATCACGTAATTTGGGGAAACGTGTGTAGTAAGAAATCAAGCACATAAAACCTCGTATGTATAGTAGATTGTTCTTAAATTTCCTATTCGTTTTTATATAAAGTATTGAAAAACAATAATCATAATCAACTAATGAAACCTAGCATAAATTCAATCAAACTTTATAAGGCCTATTAACTATTCATTAATTGCAAACCCTGGACTCTGGCCACAGGCACAACACAAAAGCACGCAGTGCTTTAGTGAGCCCACTACAAGTGCTCCCAAAAACGACCAATTAAGGTTTTTTTTTTTTTAAAATTCCGTCTCCCGCTGGCATAAGATCGATAGGTACCCGAAATAGTGATACATTCTTTTCACTCTTGGGTGGGAAGAAATAAACTAGCATACATCATTCAAGTGTTTACTTTTTGTCTGAGGGTTTAGATCATAATGTTTGGTACCCAGCTCGCCATGGACTTTCTCTTCTGACACGAATGTCCCGGTTGCAGTATTGAGTGAGCGAAAAATATGACACAAAAGCAAAATCATCAGAAATGGTCGCAATCGTCATGGAGCTTCAAAGTAAGGCCGCAGCATTACTAAGAGAAAACAAATCGAAACGCCTCCCTCCTCCAGCCCATTCGACGGAAAAATGATTTCGCCTTTTGTACACACGTACTCAATCCTTTGAGATCAAAGGACTTCTCGACTGGACCTGAAGACTCTTCTCCTGCCATGCGTATAAGGACAGCGATAGCAATGATAGTGAAGCACTCAGACGGCGAAGCATCCAGCTTAAACATACCGATATCAAACCACCTTCATCTCACCTGGGATTTTGAGGAAACCATATGTGTTCTGCTCGACACACGGCTCACTAGTTTTGAAAATGAATCGTTATTTAAATACGTCCTTGTTTGTTTGTTTTTTTTAATTCGATTTTGCGACCTCCTCGGCTGAAGTGCTCATCGCACTTTGTTACTTCTCTCAGCATTCCGCTTTACGCCCACCAGTTCCGACCAGCGAGGCGTCGCTCGTCGGCAATAATTTTTTTAAAGCTTCTGTCGTTTAACTGTTGCTAAAAATATGACATCAAAGCCAGTACAGACTTTGTCATCCGGCAACACAAAACATACCCAACGGTGTGGGCACCTTCGCATGCTTTGTGCTACAAATCTGACCGTTATGCTGCAGTTCGTTGAGATTTCCGGCCTCCTTGGCTGAAGTGCTGATCAAACGTCTGTCACATCTCTCAGCATTCCGCTTTACGCCCACCAGTCTCCACCAGCAAGGCTTCGCTCCTCGGTGATCATTTTTGCGAAGCTTCTGTCATTTAACCGTCCATGAAGATCTAGCATCGGACCCTGTCATCCTGCAATACAAATTATGCCCCATAGTGGCGGCACCATCGCATCTTCGCTGCTACAAGTCAGAGGGTCGCGCTGCACTTTATTGAGATTTGCGGCTTTCTTTGGCTGAAGTTCTTATCGAAAGTCTGTTACCTCTTGCAGCATTCCGCTCTACGACCACCAGTTTGGACCAGCGAGACTGCGCACGACGGCGATGATTTCTGCGAAGCTTCCGCGTCGTTCTACCGTTGCTGAAGATCGGACATTGGGCCCCTTCATCCTGAAACGTAAAATTTGGCCCGCAACTGTGGCACCATCGCATGTTATGTGCTACGAAACAGACGGTCGTGCTGCTCTTAATAGGGATTGGCGTCCTTGTTTGCTGACGTGCCTATCAAACGTATGATACATCTCGCAGCATTACACTCTACGATCACTAGTTTCAATCAGAGAGGGTGCGCTTGACGGCGATCATTTCTGCGAAGCTTCTGCATCATTTCACCGGCGCTAAAGGTCGGACACCTGGCCCAGTTATTCTGCAACACAGTCTCTGTCCCACGGAGGCGGCACCATCGCATCCTATGTGCTACAAAACAGACAATTGAGCTGCACTTTTTTGGATTTGAGGCCTCCTTGACATTAGTGCTTATCAGACGTCTCTTACATGTCGTGGGTATGAACAC